TTCATATCGACACTACCCACAATAGCCAAAAAGTGGAGATAACTCAAATTTCTATCAATGGAAGACTGGATAAACAAATGGTGTTTATATGCAATGGAATATTATTCTGCCAAAAAAAGAAATAAAATGCTGACACACGCTACAATGTATCTCAGAAACATGCTAAGTACAAGACACCAGACACACAGATCATGCATTGTATGATTCCATTCATATGAAATATTCAGGATAATCAAGAGACAGAAGGCAGACAGGTAGATACCAGGGCTTGAGGGTAAAAAGGGAGTATAGAGAAACTGCTTAATAGCTAAGATGTTTTTAATCTGGAGTAATGGGAATATTTTGGAACTAGTAAGAGGTGGTGGCTATACAGCATTGGGAGTATTTAAAGTCACTTGAACTGCTTATTTTAAAAAATTACGATTAACTTTGTATTATATGAACTTCATCTCAATAAATTAACAAATAGAGAAATGCAGTGAACCAGAAAACATACACATCTATAATACTCCATTTTAAAATGTCCTTTATTTTGGCTAACCAGTAATTAATTATCAAGCTGCTCAAGGTCACAGAATGAATAAGTCCTGGAAACAGGTTTAGCATGTTCCACTATTCACATCCATCTCTCTGGAGAAATAACACAATTAAAGTGAGGGACCAATTGGGAAGGAATAGATTAACCTTCGGGTGAAGTAGTAGGTATCTGAACTTAAAGAGATGGCAGTGGGGATAGATTATAAAGGGACAAATAAAACATATCTCAAAATATGTCATTAACTTTATTTTATTTTTTTAAATTTTTAATTTTTTTTTCTTTTTAGAGGCATGTTTTTATTTATTTATTTGTTTGTTTGTTTGTTTTGTTTATACATGCACTGGGTACAGTCAGAAGCATGGGAGGGTGAGAGAACTCACCAGAGCCAGAGCGGGGAGCAGAGCAGGCAGAAGGACCGAAGTACACTGCTGAGGGGAGCAGCGGGCGGCAGGAGAGGTCTGCACGCCATGTGGGACCCTCCTCCGGTGTCCGGGGAGCAGCCGGGGATGGAACCGGCGCCGCAGAGGCCGCGGGCAGCTTCACAACCCGGCGCTCAACCGCTGCGCCACCTGGGAGGCCCTGTGTCATTAACTTTAGGTGAATGGTTACCCATAATGAAGTCAAAGATAAAAATTTCAAGGTTTCCAACCTTGATTAATGGGAAAATAGTTACAGTATTTTAAAAAGGAAAAATGAAGAAATCATGCTAAAAGGGTTTTTAATTGGCTTTATTCAGTATCACACAATCAATCAATCATCAGCTGAGAATACAACTTAAAGATTCAGTTTTTTAAATTTATATAATTTTGCAACCTCCTGTGTCCTACTGCCATTTGGGGGAAAACAACAACAACAAAACCACCTTAGATACCTTTACATATCCTGTGAATTAAAAGTTAAAATACTAACCCCTGTGGGATATTTTCTCATATTCAGTAGGGTGTATTTTTGTTTTAATCTTTCAAAAAGGGGCTAATATTCAGATCTACAAAGAACTCATAAAACTCAACAAAAATAACACAATGAAGCAAAAAAAAAAAAAATGGGGAGAAGAGCTAAATAGACACTTCTTCAAAGAAGATACAAATGAACACCGGGTACATGAAAAAGTCAAAACCACAGTGGAAAACCACTTCGAACCTGTAAGAATGGCTCATATCAAAAGAACCAGAAACAACAAATGCTGATGAGGATGTGGAGAAAAAGGAACCCTTGTGAACCCTTGTTCACTGTAGACTGGTCCAGACCCATGGAAAATAGTATGGCATTTCCTCAAAATATTGAAATAAATGCACCATGTGACTCAACAAATTTACGCAAAGAATACAAGAACATTAATTTAAAGGGATATATGCACTCCTATTTTCATTGCAGCACTATTTTTTTAAAGATCTATTTATTCTTTATACAAGAACCGGGGTACAGGCCAGATGTGTGGGAGGGTGAGAGGATTCACCAGAGACAGAGTGGGGAGCAGAACAGGCAGACTGACGAAATACACTGCTGAGGGGAGCAGCGGGTGAGACAGGAGAGGTCTGCTTCGCCATGTGGGATTCTCACCGGCCTGCTGGGATTGAACCTGCACTGCTGAGGCTGTGGACAGCTTCACAGTGTGGCACTCAACCGCCTGCGCCACCAGGGAGGCCCCTGCAGCACTATTTATAACAGACAAGTTATAAAAACTAACTGTCCAATGACAGAGGAGTAGATTAAGAAGCATAGATTAGAAGATGTTATATACACACATGATAAAATAATGCTCAGCTATAAAAAATGAATTCAAGGGTTTATTTTGACTTTGTTTTCTCTGGTTTTATTTTCTTTGTTAATTTATATGTAATATATAATTTATATGAATGAAATCATGCAGTATTTGTCTTTCTCCTCTGACTTAGTTTGCTTAACATAATTTCCTCAAGTTCTGCCCATGTCACAAATGGCAAGATTTCATCTTTTTTATAGCTGAGTAAGTAGTATTCTACCATGTAAAATAAATCTTTATCCAATCACAGATTGATGGAAACTTAGATTGTTTTCATATCTTGGCTATTGTAAACAGTGCTGCAATGAACATAGTGGTGTATGTATCTTTTCAAATTCATGTTTTTATACTCTTCAGATAGATACCTGGGAATAGAATTGCTAGATCATATGGTAGATCTAATTTTAAATTTCTGAGGAAACTCTATAATGCTTTCCATGAAACTTGCACCAATTTAACATTCCCAGAAACATTGTATGTGAGTTTCATGAACCCAGTTTAAAGTCCCAAAGTTGAGGGTATTTTCCCTAGGAACTCAGGTGAACTCCAGTGTGAGATAATGGGCTTTTCAGTCCTTTTTATCCAGCTATTTCAAGTAAGTACCAGACTAGTCTCTACCTCAAACCCCACAAAACTGAGCTCAAGTTCTTTTTATTTCCCTACTTTACTGTTTATCTATATGTTTTTAATAACACAATGATAATATAATGAGTTCATAACTGAAAGAGAACTAGTCTTAACAATAGGTCCTATCTTTCTGAATTGCTTCTCCCCATCCAACCATCCGCTTCCACTCTTCAAGGACACACATTACATAACAACAGTGATATTTTCAAAAGGGGTGTAAAATGTTATGTCATATTATGCAGCAATATATTCAGAGATCTGCTTTTAAAAACCAAAGTCTGGTAAAAATGGTTACTTAACCAGGGGCAATGAAAAGGGACAGAGTGCTTTCATAAAACAATTTAGCAATAATTTATAAAAAGCTGCTCTGAATAATAATACCTTCTAGCCTCATACACTCATTTCTATAGCAATCAATCCCAAGAAAATACTCTAAAATGTGGAAAACACACATGCAACAGGATGCACATCACAGTGTCACTGATATAAGGGAAAACCTGGAGCAAAAGAAATGTTCAATAAGAAGAAAATTGAGTTTTACTTATTGAACATTTCAAAAATGTTTCATTTTTTGAAAGTAAGTTTTTCTTATTGAACATCTTTTGTTAATTCATATTTTCTCAATCCCTGCATAAAAGTACAACTACTATCAAGTGACAGTCTGAAATTACTTTTGATGATAAAATGAATTCTCATTTTCCAATTGTAAATTATAAATTCTTTACAGATTTAATTTACACATCACAGTAACAACTGAATAGGTTGTTTTTCAAAGGGGTATAAATGTTATGTCATATTATACAGTAATACATTCATGGAGCTGCTATCAAAAACCAAAGTCTGGTAAAATGGTTACTTAACTAGGTGTAGTAAAAAGGGGCTGAGAATAAATAAAATAATAATAAGTAATAAAAATAATTTTAAAACAATTTTAAGAAACATATACTACTTTGCGATATTATTCTAGTCCTCTAATTTGGCTAACCAGTAATTATTAAACTGCTCAAGGTCACAGAATGAATAAGTAGTGGAAACAGGCTTAGGATGTTCATGTTTGAATTTGATAACTTGTTTTTTAAAAAGTTAAATACCTTTTTAAAGAGCACATTAAAATTTAGAGTAAAATATTAGAATTTTGAAAGGTAACATAGATCTTCTTTATTTTTTTAAAAAGGTAAAGTAACTCATGTCCACATAAAGCTGAGCATAGTATCTAAAGTCAAAGTCAGCATTATTGTATCACTGAGAAATAGAATATATAGTGTTTTTAACATTGGATGGGTTTTAGAACAAACAGTCCATGGAATAAGTCTGATGTAATTAGAGGAATTATTAGATAACACCTCTTTTCTTTGAAAAATGAAAACCTCATGTCCTATACAAAACTTAAAATAAATCTTAGTCTTAAACATAAAATTAAAATGTAAATGATGAAAATTTTAGACGAAAATTCAGGAAAAATGTAAATGATCTAGGTTTAGGCAAAGAATTCTTGAACATGCCACCAAAACCATATCCATAAAAGACAGAAATCAATTGAACTTCATCAAAATTAAAACTATATTAGTAGTCAATGTTATAAATAAAAAGGCAAATAATAGCCTTTAAGCATTATACTGTAGAAATAAGTATTTCAGGTAAAATATGGCCATACATATAAACTAGATCTCATAAACGTGTGAGGATAAATGAAAAGAGGCCTTTTTCTCTTTGAGTTTCCTATAAGTACAGTAAAACTTATTTGATATTTTTTATTTTTTTAAGTTTTTTTTGCAGTTAAAATGATTAAGGTTTTGTTTATTACAGAATTGGAATATTGTATTTATGACTTATGAGATAGAGGAAAGGGTGTCTATATCTAACTTAAACATTTATTGCTATCATAAATGTAAAACTTCAGAACTTGCATTTCTATGAAAGCCTAAGGAAATTACTCTGATTGTTAAATAGGAATCCTGCCTTCTTAAATATATATAAACAAATCATCAAAACTCTACTTATTTTTCTCTTGTAATGTTACTGACAGTTTCCAGAAATCATTTAATTTTTAAATAATGAATTATCAACACTTACCAGCAGCTTCAAGAACCAACTGTAGTCTGGCTTTGGCCTGTTCAGCTGGTGGCTAAAAAACAACCACAAAAGACATTTATAGGTGAGTTTTAATAGAGGGGGCTTTAAATTAATTCATTATTAGGCAAGTACCAGGAAATTTGGAGAATATTATCATAATTAATAACAACTCACATTTTAACAAAATTCTACCACAGCCATTCTAACAATCCTCTCTTATTTTAGTAGTCATGTCACATTTTTCATTAATACAAAAATAAAATGATTTCTTATTTTTTTTACTGAAAGGGTATTTTTTACTATACAAATTTGTAACAATCAGTAATAACTTAAATAACTGCAGTCTAATAATGAGGCAAATGCCCTACATTTAGCTATTTCTTTGCATATGGAAACATACATTTTAAATAGCACTTTGAAATCCAACACTTCAGGCAAGTCATATCCTAAAACCAAGTATTTTCTGCCTTCCTACTGTATTTCAAAAGAGCAGTTGTGGATAACTTAGGATACTACATGAGTTCTATGTTTTCAATTTCTACTAATTATCCTAAAATTATTCTCTCAAAGAACTTTGATACCATACATTTAATATGTTGAAACTAAAGTGCTTTGCTACCAGAATCTTATTCTGAGATTTTGGAATAAAATATTAGTGGTATTAAAGCTATAACATGCATAGTATCAGTATTAAAGTTTTTATGAAAGACCTAAAAACTGTTTTCAATACTAAGTTTACTTCAGAATGCATTTATATACTTCTCAACTGAAAAAAAGGGCATATATGACAAGTACAGCCAACATCCTACTGAATGTTGAAAAGCTTTTCCTCTAAGATCAGGAACAAGACATAGTCCTCTTCAACACAGTACCAGAAGTCCTAGACAGAGTAACAAGGCAAGAAAACAAAATAAAAGGTGTCAGAAATGGTAAGAAAAATGGGAAAGAAGTACATGTGTCTCTATTCACTTGTAACAAGATATTATACAGACAACTGCTACATTTAACCAATGAATTCAGTAAAGCTGCAGGATACAAAATTAATGTGTAAAAAAAATCAGCTGCATGTTTATACACTAACAATGTAATTTCTCAAAAACTAAGAAAGAAATCAGTCTGATTTACAATAGCATAATTTAAAAAAATACCTAGGAATAAATTTAACTGAGGAGGTAAAAGATCTTTATGCTGAAAACTACAAGATGTTGATGAGAAAAACCAGATGATACAAATAAATGGATTAGAAGGATTCTTATAGAAGGATTCATATTGTAAAAACATCAAGACTACCAAAAGCTATCTGAAATTCAATGTAACCCCTATTAAGATTCCAATAGAATTTTTAACAGAATTAGAAAAAAACTCCTAAAATTTATATGGGACCACAAAAGACCCTAAGCAGTCAGAGAAACTCTGAGATAGAAGAGCAAAGAATGATTTCTGCTTTCTGGTATCAAGATATACTACAAAAGGGCTTCTGCACAGCAAAAGAGACAATAACCAAAACAAAGAGAAACCCCACCGACTGGGAGAACATTTTTGCACACAACACTAATGAGAAAGGACTGATCACAAAAATCTACAAAGTGCTGATGAGACTCAACAAAAACAAAGAAAATAATCCAGTCAAAAAAATGGTCAAAAGAGCTAAAAAGATACTTCTCCAAAGAGGAAATGCAAATGGCCAACAGGCATATGAAAAAATGTTCAACATCACTTGTAATCAGGGAAATGCAAATCAAAACTACCATGAGATACCATCTACACCAGTAAGAATGGCACATATTAAAAAAACTAGCAACAACAAATGTTGACAAGGATGTGGAGAAAAAGGAACTCTCCTGCACTGTTGGTGGGAGTGCAATCTGGTCCAACCACTATGGAGAGCTGTGCAGAGATTCCTCAAATCTACTAAAGATAGAGCAATTTCACTCCTAGATATTTACCCAAATGACACAGAAACATTAATTCAAAAAGGCACCTGCACCCCTATGTTTATAGCAGCACTATTTACAATAGCTAAGCTATGGAAACAATCCAAATGCCCAAAAATAGATGACTGGATCAAGAAGATGTGGTGTGTGTATATATATATATATATATATATATATATATATATATATATATACTGGAATATTACTCAGCAATCAAAAAAGATAAACTCATGCAATTTTTGCAGCAACATGGATATAGCTAGAAGGGCTCATGCTCAGCAAAATAAGCCAGAAAGAAAAAGAAAAATACCATATGGTCTCACTCATAACAGGAATTTAGAAAACCTAAATAAGGGACTGGAAAAAGACTAATTATAAATAAAATAAAAATAAACAAGAAACTATAAACCAGAGACACATTAAGGGGGGGGGAGTAGGGAGAGGAGGGATTAGGGTCAAAATAAGGGGGGAGGGTGCAATTGTATGGGGAATATAACCAAAATGAAAATGCATACATTGTGCAAAAATGAAAAATGATGTAAGAATTATATAAAATAAAATATTTTTTTAAAAAAGATATACTACAAAGTTACAATCATCAAAACAATAGGCACTGGAATAAAAACGGACACAAAGAATCATGGAACAAAAAAGAAAGGCCAGAAATTAACCCAAACAAGCTAAGAAAATTCAGTGGGAAAAAAAGACAGTCTCTTCAGTTAAATGTGCTGGGATAACTTGAAAATTCACATGTAAAAGAATGAAACTGGACCATATTTTATACCAGTCACAAGAATTAACCCAAGATAGATTAAAGATTTAAATATAAAATACAAAAACCATGAAACTCCTGGAAGAAAACAGGAATAAAGCTTTTTGACATGGGACTTAATAATGATTTTTTTGATAGAACACTTAAAACACAAGCAACAAAAATAAAAATAAACAAGTAGGACCACATCCAATTAAAAGGTTTCTTCACCACAAAAGAAACCATCAAAAAAAAAAAAAAAAAAGCAAAAAAGCAATCTACAGAAAATACTTGCAAAGCATATATCTGATATCCCAAACATGAAAAGAGTGATGTGGATGAATAGTGACTATGGCTGCACAACAATCTGAATATAGTTAAGACCAATGAACTGTTACACACTTAATATGGTAAATTTTATGTTGAATATATTTTATCACAATAAACACAACTCCTAAGAACTAGATTTCTGAAATAATGTAAAGATGAAATATTTCAGATTTTTTAGACAAATGGTGTTGGAATACCATCAGGTCCTCACAGAGTTTTGTCTTTATAACAAATTCACTTGTTTAAAATTCACTACCTTGATTTCTTCAAAAATTAGGGAGAATAAATAAATACAGCTGGAACTTGAACCCCTGCCTACAAACATTTTTTTAAAGGTCACCTGTAACACAGAGGGCATTGTACTGCAAGTTGAGGATAAACAGATGAATAGATGTAGTTCCTGACTTACAGGATTTTACAGTAAAAAGAAATAAAAAGTAATCTAAAGGAAGTACTACTTATTAAATAGCTACATTATGCCAAGAATATGTGTCATTTCAATCCTAAATATTTTTCGGTTTCATTGAGTTATAATGAAACTATAAAAATTTGCTCTTTTTTTACAGTGTACTGTTTGATAGGTCTGACATACACATAACAACCAATTAGGTATCACTAATGTCAAGATAATGAGTTTTTACATTATTTCAAAGCTTTAAAATATCCCTCTTTAATTCTTCCATGTCCCTGTGCCTGAACTTACTCCTTAGTCCTCAGGTAATCACTGCTTTTCTTTCTATAACTATTGATATAACTTTGTATACTTCAGCATTTATATAGGTGCAACCATATGACATACACACTTTTCTGTCTGGTTTTTAAATGCAGTGTAATTATTTTGAAATTTATGTTGCTGTGTGTATCAATATTCACTCCTTTTTATTTCTGGGTAGCATTCAATTGTAAGGCTATACAATTATTTATTTATCTATTTACCTGTCGACATTCAGATTATTTCTAGTTTACTGGCTATCACTTTAAAAATCTCTGGTGGCACCTCCCTAGTAGCGCAAGGGGTTAAGTCTCAACACTATGAAGCTATCCCCAGAGACTGCAGCACAAGTTTGATCCCTGGCCAGGGAGCTAACCCACAGGGCGCTTCAGACTCCTCCTGTCTCACCCGCTGCTCCCCTCAGCAGTGTATTTCAGTCAATCCACCTGTTCTGCTCCCCACTCTGTCTCTGGTGAATCCTCTCCACCACCACCCCCTGTCCCCCGCACCTCTGGCCTACACCCCAGCTCTTGTATAGGTAAGTAAATGAATCTTTTAAAAAAAATCTATAAAGATTCAGGTATAGATTCTGTATAAATATGTGCTTTCATTATTTTTTGGATAAATTTCTAGGGCTGGAATGGCTGAGTCATATGGTAAATAAATGTTTAACTGTAAGAAATTACCAAACTGCTTCCAAAGTGATTTTAATATTTCCACCAGCAGTATATAAGAGTTCTGAGTACTCCATATCCTAGCAATGATGTAGTAGAGTCAAAATTCAAAATTTTCAAAATTCAAACAGGTACCCTATTGTGCTTTTAATCTATATTCTGTTTATGATTAGTGCTGAGCATCTTGTCATGTGTTTACTGTAACCATATATTTTTATTGGTAAAATGGCTGTTCAAAACATTTGCCAGGTTTTTTTTTGTTTGTTTGTTTTTAAAGATTTTATTTATTTATACAAGTGCTGGGTACAGTCAGAAGCGCGGGAGGGTGAGAGAATTCACCAGAGCCAGAGCAGGAGAAGAACAGGCAGACTGACGATACACTGTTGAGGGGAGCAGCAGGCGGGGAGGCCCACATTTGCCAATTTTTTATAGGGTTGCTTTCTTATTACTGAATTTTCAGAGTTGTAAATTGTAATGAATGAATGAATGAATTATAATAAATGAATTTTTCACATATGAAGTTTTCAATTACACCATACATAGAATTATATTTATTTATTTTTTGGATAAAGTCCCTCCACTGGGTGACTTATTTTTTCACTGTCTTAAGAGTGTCTTCCAGAGGGCAGGATAGCTTACTTCTGATGATAT